TGAAAAGAGACCAATCCCATTTCCTTAACCCAACCTTTTTATTATGAACTTCTTTTGCGAAACGTTTTGTGAAAATTCTCGGATCCTAGCTTGGGTTTGGATTCACACAAGTGTTCCTCCAAATCCCTCAAACCAAGGCTCTAATACCAACTTGTAACGTCTCATTTTCACATCAAAATTTTTCATTTTTTAATAAAGGTAAATGTTCACATATTTAGAACCCATGTTAAGAAAACCATTTTTTCCAAATTACATTGTTTAAAATCAGAGTAATATAGTAAACATGAAATATTCATTACTACTTATGAATTTGTACAGTCATGTCTTCACCTTCCCATGAAAGCTAATGATACCTGAAAAACATAAACAACTGGGAAAGCACGAAGCTTAGTGAGTTCTCCCAAAATACCACACACCATAACACACATACAATGCATGCACACTGGGCCCACAATCTCAAATATTAGGTTGCCCCTGGGCCCACATCCATAAATTCTGGATTGATTTCAAGTTTGTTGGCATGCTGCCTCAACCCAACTGCTCCTCTCGAGCCTTCATGTCTATGTCTTATAACCGGTCAACACCTGGGATCTTGGTTTACAGCACAAAGCAGGATCGCTGCAACATAACCCATCACAATATGTCGAAATATAAGAAAACAAGAATCAAGGAGGCACATAACCACATGCAACTATGAGTCCACCTGTCGAACAGATCACTACCGCCTACTAGGCCCTCACAGCACACTGCTTCACTACCAACAAATCCCCAAGGAATTCATAGCCATATTAACCAGAGATGAGATAGTCACCTAAGTAGATGATCCTAATCTAGAGCCATAACCAACCAAGGACCATGAAAAAAATCCTAGATCAAGAGTTCATAGGCTATCTTATGTGAATACATACAACCCCTAGGGCATTTCACTAGATGATAACCAGCCTACTAATACACACAACAACATCCTATACACAACGCTAAATAACCAAATCTAGTAGGCCGACATTAGTGCCTTCAGCCCATGGGTATAGTGAAGAAACTCACCTAAATCGAAGAACTAGAAACACTGTGACATGCTCCCTTTCGGCAGTGATTGCTCCCATGAACCTACTAGCACCCAAACATGGTAAAATATTAATCAACAGTCCAAACCCGTCAAGTTTGACTCAAAGTCAAACTGGTCAAAAAAGTCAATGGTCAACAGTCAACAAAAGTGAACGGTCAACAGCTTTTCATGATGTAATAATCTCTTGGTCACATCGTGGCCATCTAAAGACAAAATAGTCACAAGTCTTTAGTCGTCACGACATTACATGCACCTTGTCATGCCGTGAGAACTGCCTGAAGGGTAGCTTCCTGGCGTAAGCCCTTAATCCATTAAGCTACGAACTCATCTCCTCCAGAAGGATTCCATGCACCCCAAAAGCCATAAAAATCGATGATTTAAGGTATTACATGCACACTACAAGTTTTGAGCTCAAATTAGGCCACTAATGAAGAAAAAGGAGGTCAAAACCTCAAGGGATTAAACTTTACCAAACTTCAAATCTAGCACAACTAACCACCAAGGGATTCTAAGGACCCATAAAGTTCCCAACTTTATGGAATCACAACACTCTAACTAATCTAATCATGGAAAATAATGCATAAAACTCTAGATATAGCAACAAGAAACCATAAAACTTGAAGGTTGAATACTCACAAAGGTCTATAGGACTTTTTAGAAGATGCTAATGAGGCTTGCAAGCTAAATCTATGCTCCAAAGATAATCCCTTCTCCTTCAATTCACCTAGATACCACCAAAGGCTTAAGAACTCATTAATGGAGCTAGGGTTTCATAAGAAATGAGTGGAGGCTGATAGGATACCTTAGGTCATGATTTAAGATCCTTAAATATGGAATATATCCTAAAATTTTAGGGCTTGGGCTGTAACCATCTTCACAATGTAACCATCCTCTTGTCACGTCGTGACAGACCCTCTTGGATGTGTTCATCAATTTCAACCTATTACGTCACAACCTCCTTATGGTCATTTCGTGCCACTTGGTTTTACACAAAAACCATGCCTTTGACTCCTTGATACCCTATATATATATATATATATATATATATATATATATATATATATATATATATATATAGGTGTTTTTTAAACATATAAAGAAATAACCATGAGTTCAATACACAAACTAAAATACATCACAAGTGTTTGTAAAAGTAGACAAAATTTATTGTGTATACTTGTTATAAAACACTTCCACATGCTAACCTTAGTGGTTAAGAAGGTCACAAGTTCAAGTCTGAGCATCACATTCCTTGCCTTGGGGACTTTGTGATTTACCTTCCCTATTTTGGTTGTGGGACCCATTAGTGTGTATACAAACCTATGAATACTCACCCAAAACCAGCTAAATCCATGATATAAAAAGCACCCATAGCTCATAACCATTGACCTCCGGAAGATCTAAATTTGCACTCAACAACCAATTTAGATCGTGGTATTTAGTTTCTCAAGCACTCATACAAATAGCAAAAGATTTTTTTTCCTTTTTAATGAAGATAGTCCTTTCCCTACATCTTATAGTAACAATGACATACATCCTTTGAACCCTAAGAAGCTAACATGTTATATTATCAATTCCAAGTCATTCAGTTACCCAAGAAGTTAAAGGTGTTTTTGAACACACAAAAGGAGTTGAATTTTGAATTATAGATGGAAGATAATGCTAGCAGTTGCTAGAACTTACAAGGACAAGGAGATCAGTTAACAGGTCATGCGTTTGACAATTTATTGTTCATATCGATGTTGATTTTAGAGTCTTCGATGTGAGTTACATCTCCAGATCTGTAAGAGCCACCGGAGGATGTTAAGTTGATTTTCTAAAGCTTAGTTTTCAGTTATGGTTGTGGTATATGTATATAGTTGTGTGTTATTCACTTAAAATACTCAAAATGTAGAGGAATGAATGTTTGGAGGAGTTTCGGTAATAGAAATAAGTATTCTGATCCGTTTTATGGCATAGACTTCGTTGACTTATAAGAATTTTTTAATAAGCTTTGTTTACATTTTACTTGGGTCAAAAGTTAGGCCCTAATTTCAACAAAGACCAAGAGACCATACTTATATGTTATTTTTTATGTATAAATTTTATTTTGTAATGCCAACTACATAATATATATCATGTTAAGTGTCAAGTTTAAAGCTAGTGGCACTGGTTTTGGTAAAAAAAAATACTAATAAGAATGAGAAACTTATTTTTACTGTCAATATGATCACCAACAAAACAAGTACTTAATAAGACATACGAATGTGTTATTTTTTACACATAAATTTTATTTGTAACGCTAACTATGGATGATATATTATGTCCCAAAGAACATGTAACGTCCCAAAACTCAGAACCAAAGATTTTTGTTTTTATATTAAATAAACCATCAACCAAACATGTTTGTCAAAACCAAAAGTATTCAGAGAGTATCCATAAACATTCCAAAAATATGTCAGAGTCAATAAAGCAGAAAATTATGGTTTGTGCAATGTGATCATCCTGAGCTCTTCCCCTTCGAACCAGAAGCACCTGAAACATAAACTAAAAACCACAAGCACAAAGTTTAGCGAGTTCCCCAATATACCGTATACCATACACATATGTCAGCTAAAGTCTGTACCGGGTCTATTTTAGCCACGAGTCTATTTTAACTCATATATCATCCCAAGGCTATACCGGGTCTATTTCACCCCTGGTTCTAATTCACCCCCGAGTCTATTTCAACTAATATGTTAGGCTATACTAGGTCTATTTCACCCTACATACATATAGCAAACAGGCACACATGCATACGACACATACAACAGGAGCCAAAAGGACTACAAGCACATACAATCCTTAGTGTCCTATAGTATAGTGAGCAAACTCACCTCAGTCCACTGACAATCGAATAGATGCTTGGGCTACTAAATCGGAGAACCCCACATTAATCAATCAACTAAAACCCTAATTAATAATCAGGTCATAACCATAATTAGGACTTTAATAAACTATTCCCAACTCCCAGGGTAAAATACCGTTTTACCCTTCACTTAGTTGGCCCAATGTCTGTGGCCCAAACTCAAAGGCACAAAAAGCCCAATAATGGCCCAAATCCTAAAAGATACTCAAGACTCAATATGGGCCCAAATCAAAAAAGCCCATCAGTCCCAAGATTGAGTATGCTTAGCATACAACCAGAGTACACGCAAAATACTATCTTGCGACCAAAATTACAAAGTCTCATCCGCGTATGCTATAGTACGCCCGCCATACACCTCTAATCACCAAAACCTCATTAAGCACTTAATGCTTTAAGACCAAATGTCTATTTTTGAGATCCAGGCCTTGGGGAACGTCTTAATCCATAAAGTTACTAACTTGGTGCCTTTACATGGCTTAAATGGACTCAAACCTTAGATTTAACATCCTACTTTCACCAAATGGACATATACTCATGCATAGTTGATCCTGAACCATCAAGGTGCAAACTTTATGGACTAGGCATCTCAGAAACATCAAGAGGAGCAACTCATAACTTATGGAATGGAAAATTCCAACTAGATCTCATTCATGAGACCAAAAACTGGCCAAAACTCTACTAGATCTAGATCCAAGCATAGAATGAGCAAGGTCAAAGCTTTAAACCTTTATGAAGCTGAAAATGATGAATGCAATCTGGATCTACAAGCTCCTCCTTGATCAATCCTCCTCAACAAGCTTCTTCTCTTGAAGAAACACCAAATACACACCAAAACATCCATAAATATCAACTCTCTCTTGAAATGGGTTAAGGTTTCGAAATGGGACTCCAAAAGAGGCTAAGGAGGTTGGTAATGAGAAAATCTTGGGCATAAGGTTGCTTAAATATAGTCCAAACCCTAAAATTAGGGTTTGTCCCCTGATCACGTACGTCATGCGTACTAGAAGTACTCCCAACGTACGTGCATCCTTTGCAAAAATTACAATAATGCCTCTAGACACCAAATTTGCAAACTATATTCACACCAAGGCTCAAAATGAAAGATACCTCGAATCGGATGTTACACAACGTGAGGAATCCAAAGCACGTCAAGAAACTATGCAAAAACGTAAGGAAGAACTTTGGAGTAAATTCATGACAGACAATTAGGGTTATGTTTATAGTTATTGGTATTTGAATCTTCCCGTAGATTAAGTGTATGGATTTGATAAATGAAACTTTTGTGGATTTGATATTTGAAACTTTCTAGATTAAGTTTATGGATTTGGTTCAAACTTTGTTGGTCATATTATACTTTTTTTTTAACTAGCTGCAAAAATTTTGATTATATGTAATTTCTAAATATATAATTTTTGAAATCTGTTATGTTACCCGTAAACTATCCACAGAATCACCCAAAAAAGAATATTTGTGGAAATCCGTGGGTAATATTCTGCGGATAAAATATGTGTAAGATCCGTGGGAAACAATTATGTAGAAAATTTGTGGGTAAACATCCGTGGAAATACTGTCGGTGGTAATAACAGAGCTGTTGAAAAGTTGTGGGAATACTTTTTGTGGATACTCCGTGGGTAATCTAGTAGTGGATAAGTTGTGTGTAACTTGTCCATTAATAAACTATGGGTAATTTTGTGGGTCAAGTGTCTCTGGTAAATCTATTGATTAATATGTACATGTATAATCCGTGAGTAATTCTGAGGGTAATCTGTGGGAAAAAATTACCCAAGGGCTGCACGAATCTGGTTTCAGGGAAAATCTATGAGTAAAGACCATTACCCACTTATAGGGTTGTGGGTGAACGTCTGTTCTATTGTGGTGTGTTTATAAACGTTTTGAATATGTAATATTTAAAATAAATTATTTTTAAAAAGTTATTTGGAAGTTGTATGAAAGTGTTAAAACATTTAGAAAAAAACATAAAAAGATGTTTTATATTTTATTTTTTTAAGTAATAGAAGATTATAAAAAAGTGGGAATAAGACTTATTAAGGTAATTATTTTTCGGTATGTTTACATCTGGGTAACTATCTTTTTTTGTACACATCTATGTAACAAATTTGTTGGAAGTGTTCACATATGACCATTATGACCTGTTATAGCAGATTAAATCCTAGATGTGAACGCTTTCAACAAGTTCGTTACCTAGATGTGTACAAAAAAAAATTACCCACATATGAACAAAACGAAAAGTAAAAATTAAATTATATGAATGGTCCCTATGGTTTGGGGGAATTTGTGTTTTTAGTCCCTAACTTATTTTTTTAACTTTGATGGTCCCTACTGTTTATTTTTGTTGTGCGTTTGGCCTGTGTTTTACCTAAAAGACTATTATGCCCTTATTAATTTATTTTTTAATTAATTTTCTTATTTATGTATTTACTTTTTACATATTTAAAAAAATTAATAGACCACACTAATAAGTGTGGTCTATTAATTTTTTTAAATATGTAAAAAGTAAATACATAAATAAGAAAATTAATTAAAAAATAAATTAATAAGGGCAAAATAGTCTTTTTAAGTAACACAGAACCAAACGCGCAACAAAAATAAACAGTAGGGACCATTTAAGTTAAAAAAAATAAGATAGAGACAAAAAAAAAAAAAAATTCCCCCAAACCACAGGGACCATTCGTGTAATTTAATTTTTACTTATTGTTTTGTTCATATTTGGGTAACTATTTTTTTTGTACACATATAGGTAAAGAACTTGTTGAAAACGTTCACATCTAGGATTTAACCTGCTATAGCAGGTCATAATGGTCATATGTGAACACTTCCAATAAGTTTGTTACCTAGATATGTACAAAAAAAATATAGTTACCCAGATGCGAAAAAAAAAAAAAATTATTAGCGAATTTATAACATAAAAATGTTTGGATTATATTCATAAAAAATAAAAGGAAAATAATAATAATAATAATAATTCAAAGTTTGGAGGATTCCTAACAAAATTTAAAACCTAAGCTAAAAAATATAAAATCCAGATGTGAGCTGTGATAGTTGGTAGAAAAACAAAAAGTCAAAAACACATTTCCCTACATTTTCATAATAATTTTTAGATTTGTTAGTAAGCGGATGGATAATCACAGGGTTCTGCAACGTCCTCTAAGTCGCTGTCAGCTCACTTTGACTTTCTATGCGGGACATGCTGCAGACTTTTTCAATTGACCCTATTATAAAATTTGCCCTTTAATATTAACCCTATTATAAAATTTGCACTGGCTTTTTCAATTGACTTCTTCTCCAAATATGTTTACTCGAAAGAATAAAAGGAAAAGCAACACCCCTGATTCCTGAAACCACTTGATCTGTAGATTTCAGTCATCTTCTTTCTCAGCTTCGTCACTGTTGGTTCATCCTCTATATATCATCGCTGCTTCAGGTCTCCTTTTCTTCCTGTAGGCAGGTAACTATGAAGGCACATTCTTATAAGTTAGTTTCAGATGTTGTTTGACAATTTCCACTAGTGCAGAATGATGAACAAAAGTTCTTGCACAGTGGGAAATTCTTCAACCCTCCAAAATTGCCTCCTAAATTCCTTTATATTTTCTAATTTATAAACACAATTTCTTTTCATTTAATTCTTTTTAAAGGATGTTATCTGATTCATAATTGTAAGCTAGACCTTCATAATGAACAAGCTTCAATTAGTATTCGATTTTTCAAAATGGGTGTTTAACTTTGAACTTTCATCTAATATAGAGTTTGAAATTGAACCCTTTTGTTAGTTTCATAAACATATCATATTAACAAACCTACGAATTTTAGTTGAAATCCTTCAAATATGATGATACTAGATCTAGTAATAGAAAATTTTAAATTTAAAAAGGTTGTTGCTAATTTTGGGGACCTGTATCTCTAAAAGCTTTTTTTTGCCGTTTGGATCTTCAAATTACTTGGTTGTTGATATTTAGTGAAAGCTTGAAATTGCCTATATCTTATGCAACGCCTTTCATGGGAGGCAATTGTGGATCTTGTAGTTTTATGGAGAATGGTATTTTGTGTTGATTTGTGAGTTAATTAAATCAAAATAGGAACATGCACACAAAATAACCGAGTTTAGCACTAATTAAACTATGAATGGCCTCTGAACACAAAAAATTAAATCGAGGTTTAAAAAACACATATAAAAATTATGCAATATATAGCTCCAACATCAACTCTAAACTCAAGGTTTGGGGAAAAATATTGGCATATTAACACAATTAGAGTTTATATAATGAGATTTAAACATTTTCTAGGCGTATTAGTTCACAAGGAAAAGTTTGGAGATGCATATGTATTGTATTTTAATTAGCTAAAAGTGTTATTTTGAAGAATTCAAAGGTATTAATATTATTATTATTATTATTCCTATTAGCATTATTGAGGTTTAAATTCTTTGATGAGAGTTACGTTGCATATTGTAAATACTAATAATTTGGATTTTTTTTGTAGAGGCATTATGTGCTGAGATCCTGACATTGAAGCACAAGTGAGGAAAGCCAGTGAAACCGACTTACATTATCAATAATCTGTGGGGGAGTTTCAAAGCTTACTTAGATACACCCTTAAGTTCAAATAAATACTCAAAATCGTGGGAAGGGTAAAGAGTCATCAACACATAACTCATAAAGGTTGTTCTCTCTGAACTTCCAGAAGGATCTTCGTCTCTTTCATCAATTCATGGCCATAGTTCACTAACTCATGGTCATGATTCATCAACTCAAGATCATAGATATGATGTATTTTTAAGTTTTAGAGGTGTTGACACTCGTCTTAGTTTTACTAATTATCTTTATGAGGCCCTTATTGATGCAAACATCACTACCTTCTTGGATGATGAAGAGATTGAAACAGGGGAAGATCTGAAACCAGAATTGGAAAGTGCAATTAAGGCATCTCGGGCTTCTATTATCATCTTGTCTAAGAATTACGCTTCTTCAACATGGTGCCTCGATGAATTGGTGCTGATCCTTGAGCAGCGTGTGACATCAAACCATATTGTCATGCCCATCTTTTATCATGTGGAGCCCACCCATGTTAGGAAACAACAAAGTAGCTTTGGAGATGCAATGTCTAAGCATAAACAGAAAATGGATGAAGAGACAGATGAAAGTAAAAAAAGTCAATGGGCTCAAAAGATAGAGAGATGGAATAAAGCACTTATCGAAGTTGCTAATTTAAAAGGAAATGACGTAAATGGCAGGTACCCACATATTCACCCATACGAAACATGTCAATATTATCTTCACCCTACACATTTCGGTATGTTCTTTTTTAATATTATCAAATAGACATATATTTGATACAGTAGGATAACTAAGATACATATTTTGTATAAATATAACATTGTTGCATAAATCGGGAAAAAGACAAACTGTCGTATATTTTGTATAAATATAAGATTGTTGCATAAATTGGGAAAAAAAGACAAAATGTTGTTGCATAAATAACTAATTAACCCTTTTATTAAAACCAAATTTTAAGTAGGTTGCTATACATCTACTCTTAGTTATATCATGCTACCTTCAAATCATAGTGTCTTTTATGATAACTAATTTCGGTTGTAAGTAGTAAAGGATAACCTACTGACATTTTTTTTAGGACTCGCAACATTGGTAGTTAAGTTTGATGGTCTTGTAGAAACACAGTGAAGTTACAAGGCCCATTAGTGAAAACTTGTATTACATTGTAGTTTTGGTCTTATTATACATAAATATTTATGACCTTACACATTAGATATGTATAGGGTTCAAATGAAAAGACAATATGGTTTGAGGTGAAGAACTTAATTAAAAGTTTAAAACTAATAGTTGTTGTGAAGGAATCAAATTTCTGGAATATTATCTTGTCATTGATAAAGAGGCATTTAAGCCCTCATTTATACACAAACTAGTACCTAAAACAGGAAAGAGAAATAAAGTAATAATGGAAAAGCAAATAAGCAAATAAACTCTATTCTACATATATCTAACACTAGCACTTGTGATATATTTTTTATATGGATCTTTATATAAATGAAATCTACAAATCTTGTTTATTAGTTTTGTGGATTGTGTTTTGTAGTTCTTATTAAATCAAGTTTCAGGTTTGAGACGAAGTTTATTGAAGAAATTATAAAGGACATCTACCGTAGATTACATGTACCCTTACAGAGTGTTCGACCAATACTTATTGGTATGGACTATTCCATTAACTTCATCACCTCATGGTTGAAAGATGGATCCTCACACACGGCAGACATACTCACTATTTATGGTATAGGAGGGATCGGTAAGACATCTTTAGCAAAACACGTCTATGAGATATATTCTCGTGAATTCCACAAATGCAGTTGTATTGAAGATATCAGTAGGATATGTGATGGAAAGTTTAATGGGTTGCTTGATTTACAAGAACAACTATGCAATGACATTTCAAAAGCAAGTTCAATTAAAGTTCATGATGTTTCAATATATACCTCAAAGATAGAGAATGCATTGGCCCGTAAAAGGGTGTTTCTTGTTCTTGATGATATTAGTAATCTTGTTCAGTTGGATGCATTACTTGGAAGCAAAGGTTTTCATCCTGGAAGCAAAGTTATAATAACAACAAAGGACAGATGGCTGACAGAGAGTTGTGCACTATTCAAAACAAACATTAAACCCAAGCATGTAGAACACTTCCTTGAAGGATTACATGAGAGTGAATCACGACAACTTTTGTTTTCACATGCATTCACTTGTAACCATCCCAAGGCAGGTTATGAAGAGGTTTTCGATAAGCTTGTGAAGTATTGTCAGGGACATCCATTGGCTCTTGAAGTTTTGGGCAAGTCTCTGCATAATCGGGATATGGCTTACTGGGAAGGGTTCATTGAAGGGCTAAAGAAAGAAGTTAGTTCCCCTGTAAATAATGTCTTGAGAATGAGTTTCGATTCTTTGCCATCTAAAAACGATAAGGACTTGTTTAAGCATATTGCTTGTTTTTTTGTTGGAATAGATAGATATGTTAGCGAAACAATATTAGAGGCATGTGATATAAACACAAGATCCGGAATTACGAATCTCATTGATAAATGTCTTCTTAGTATTGGATGGAATAATGAATTGAAGATGCATCAATTGGTTCAAGAGATGGGAAGATTTGAAGTAGGTCAAGAGTCACCTAACAAGCCATGGAAGAGAAGTCAATTATGGTGTCATAAGGAGTCATTTAGAGTGTTGAAACAAAAAAAGGTAAGAAGCCATTATGCTTTTAGTAGCATGCATATCCAAAATACTTTGTATTACCTAATTTGTTTATTTTCATTCTGTTTTTGTTTCTTCTTAGGGTAAGGGAAATCTTCTAGGCCTTTCCCTTGACATGCGCATGCTTGAGAAAGAGAAGTTGGGAGCATCATATGAGCTTAAAACAGATGCATTGAGTAACATGGATAATCTTATGCTACTACAACTCAATTATGTGCACATGCATGGGTCTTATGAGAACTTTCCAGGGGAATTAAGATGCCTGTGTATGCATGGGTTTCCTTTAATGTCTATACCTTTAAACTTACCTATAGAGAATCTTGTTGCTCTTGACATGTCATATAGCAATATTGAATCATTTGTCAGTTGTTATAGTAATCCACAACGACTTGAGAAGAGGAAAAAGGTAAACTTATCTTCATTTGTTATTCATGCATGTGAGTTGATAGATAAAATTCAATACTGTACTAACTTATCTCCTTTTTGAAGTTGGATGGATTCTTCTTCAAAGAGAAAATGTTATTTGGTTCACTGAAGATTCTTAATTTAAGTTACTGCAAACAACTTCATAGTGTTGGTGATTTTGATCAACTCCCTGCGCTTGAGATGTTGATGCTTAGAAATTGCATTGGTTTGCTTGATGTTTGTGAATCAATTGGGCATTGTGTTAAACTTGTTCTAGTTGATCTGAGCTACTGCAAGAAGCTTGAAAAACTTCCAAGAATTATAGGCATGTTAAAGAAGGTTAAAACAATGTTGTTAGATGGCTGTAATCTTGGTGAATCTCGAATCAAGAATATGGATATGGATTTATTGGATACTTGCACTGTTAACAACATTGGTATAAACAGAAGAACCTCTTTCTATGCCTTTATGGGTGTTATACCACATGATTTGAAGTCCATTGCAATGTCTTTACCAAGGTCTTTAGTAAGTTTGTCACTTGCAAAGAACAAGTTGTCTAATGAATCCTTTCCCATGGACTTTAGTTGCCTATCCATGTTAAAGGAGTTATATTTAGATGGCAATCCTATCAATTCCATGCCCAATTGTGTGAGATCTCTTCCTAGACTTGAGATACTTAGTATGGGGAAGTGTAAAAAATTGAAGTCAGTTGAGTATCCTCCACGTACACTAAGAGAGTTGTTTATTAATCCTGATCATGTTTTGTATCGTATAGAAAAAGTTGTATTTGATCCTGAAATGTCCCCACTCCAGTTATCAATAAGATGGATAGGTTACGCATCTTGGATAGTTCACGCACTTGGTTCTTATGAAATTGAAGGCTTGGTGAAAATCCAAGCAATGGTGAGTGTTGAGGAAAAGGTATTACATAGCTTGGGCTGGAGTAATTTAGACTTCCTTAACGAAAGATGCATGGTAACTAATTCTTCAGAATCTGAAATTAAGGTTTTGTCTAGTTAACTTAAATGTCTGTCTTTATGCTAGTATAATTGTTATGGTGATTAATTAAGGTGGGTTGTATTTGGCAGGTGATGATTTATGAATTTGGAATATTTAGCACAAGGTATGAGGCAGAGGAGATGCCGAGTTGGTTTAGGCATAGAAGCTTGGGGTCATCAATATCATTTACCATCCCATCATTATCTCCAAACAACCTCCTTATAGGACTCAACTTCTGCTCTGTGCAGACAAGGCAAGTTTTGGATGAGCTGCCTCCATTCAACCTTACGCCAATGATCACAATTAGTAATATAACAAAGAACTACATATGGATGTACGAACGTTACAGGGATGAATTTAGTCCAAATCAAAATTATAGGGTGGTGTTAAGTCATTGGATGTTTGGGATGAATGAGATGGAAGGAGGTGACCTGGTTACCATTACTGTTACAAATCTAGATAATGAAGTTGTAAAGGAGTGTGGGGTGAGTCTTGTGTATGATGAAGGGGAAGAAAAAAAAGAAGAAGATGCATTGGGTTATTACAAGTCATGGAATCACATAATTGGTGGAGATCTCTCTCCTTTTCAAACAACAACAGGACAATACCTCCTAAACAACAAGCGATTTTTTTATTATGGGATTATTTTGTATCCATATCATCGTCAATTCGTTCCGGATGGCCCAAACTTTCAAGGTAACCCATGATGTCTACTATAAGAGTTTCTTATAACCCAAATCGACCCATTTAACATTGATTTTATTGACCTCTACTATAAGAGTTTGTTTTAATAAAATATGAAAAATAAAATTTCTACTTGTAACTTTTAAATGAATCGACCCAAGTAATGATCTGTCTGAATGCGTCAATGTTAAGTCTTGATATGTTGGGTCACATAAATATATCGAGACCAGTACAAACTACTTTTTCCAAGTGGATATTTGTGAGTAATAATTAACACATAACTGTTTATCTGTTTTCAGCACAAAAGGAAAAGTGTTGGTTTAGAGCTTTATCCCCCAGGAAGAGGAAACCTAACATACTTGGTCATGGTCGTGCATCTGAGGTATACTTTTTTGACACCCAAACCTTTCTCTCATCACATGAATAAAGGCATACACATCTATATATATATATATATATATATATATATATGTATCATATTTTTGACACCCATGCCTACCCATCAACCGGATAACGCATCAGACCATCCATGGATAACTAATTCCTTCATTCAGGGCTCTAAATTCCGTTTTTTTGGTTGTTATCAAGGTCTTCTGGTTTTTATTTAATTCAGTTCTCTCTTCCCTCAAAATCTTATACAATATTGCCTCTATTGTACTTCATTACTACAGTCTTAGTCTTTGCCTGAAGGGCCTCTTTCTCATTCTGAACTTCCACCAATTCATTTTCCTCTACTTTTTGAATTTGAGTCGATTTCTCTACTTGTTTAGAGGGAACATTTTCAAGATGCTCTTTGAGTTCATTAATAGAAATATTAGAGTTGGAAAAAATCAAAAATCAAATACTTGATCCTTTGATGAGTTCTTGATATCTGATTAGCGACCCTAAGGAAGAAGTTAACATTTTTCCCATCAGATGATGACCAGATCTCCGCTTCAGTTGATATTTCTTCACCACATTTTTCCCATCTGCACTTTCTCATTCGTCTCAGCTTTTCTTGATATTTCTAGAATTTATATGATCCATGCTTCACCACTTTTTTTTTTGCATTGAAATCATTGAAAAAATGGTATTTTTCTCTACCATATCTGTGAAACTTAACAACCTCATCACTGGCCAGTTGAGCTTTCATAGATCTTCATATTTGGAGGTTTATACTATGGGCTAGCATTCTGGAAGGTGTTAGCTGGAGGTTGTTGTTTTTAATCTTTTCTAAAAGATAATTTCCTTTGTTTGGATTCTTTATGAATTTGTGGAACTTGTTTTTTTAGAAAATCCAAAATTTCATCACATGTTTTGGAACTCAACTTTCCTCAGCTTCTATCTCTGGTTAATTTGCCACAAATGCACTGGGGTTTGCTTCATAGTTTGTATTTCCTCCAATAAACTTTATATAATGTTGAACTATTATTTAACTACTAGAGATCTATGAGTTCCCTCTAATCAATGGCAATTATCCACCACATTGTGTTGCACTTTGAACAATCAGTTTTCGTTACGTCCTCATGTATTGATAAATTGATAAAATCTTTAGATGTTTAGATTACAATTCTCACTGTTTGACCTCCTAGACTAGACATATAATTAAATTTTTCTCTCTTTTTATTCACGTGAAGCCTTTTCAACTTGCTAACAAGCATACTACACAAGTCAAGGGTTTCAGTTAGTGACTCTGTAGCTAATGCTTTAAAATTGATGTATTCGTTTTCATAGCATTTTGTATTATATTGTGCATATACTTTGTGAGATTTTATAATTTTTTTTCTTTTCCTTTATTCATAGGGCGAGGGGGAATCTTCTAGGTCCCACACTTCAAATGAAAATGCTTGAGAAGGAGATGTTGAATTACTGTCTGAATTTGAAACTCAGTGAGTTATATCCTAATTTTTTCTGGAAGAATTAAGTTGGTTTGCTTGTTGTCACCTCTAGTAATGATTTATCTTTTTCTGTTTTTGTTTTGATAGTTGTATCTTTGAATGCCAAAAACAGGGGAAAACAATATGAATGGTTTTTTAGTTAGTTAATACCATATGTAAGGAATATGATATAAGTCGTAATGTTGTTTTTATTACTTTTGTTGTTTTGTTGATTTGGTTCATGTGAATGAGAGAAAAGACTTGTTGATTCTGTTTGATTATACAACAGACACACAACGTCATCGTTTTTGTTCTCTTGTTTCCTTTTTCAAATTGATAGTCAACAAGAGATTATCATTGGAACCTTTTGTCACAAACAATAACAAAAAAAAAAAAACTGAACAATCAACAGCAACGAGCACAGTAAACTAGCACAACAAACAACAACAAAAAATCCCAGCAACAAATCGAGAATTTCAAAAACTGAAGCCATTAACTCAAAACAGTGGACAACGATCTGCACATATGTAAGCAATCGATTTGTCAAATTATCGTAATCACACCACAGAGAAGAAAATCGGATTTCAATTAAATCAGTCGGAGACCAATTTGAGTTCCAATCATACCGGTTTATGATCCAAATTTGACCAATTCGTGTTCCGGAGTCGATCAACTCTCGATGCCAAATTGAATCAGATACAAAATTGGGATCGACACATTTCACGTTCCAGGTCGTGTATGTAGTTTGTCGATCCTGGTGACTATGGGAGAAACTATGCGATCGATTGAAGGGAACCTGCGTTCTTGAACTCTTGGCATAGTACGAAGGAAGCAACGCGAAGGGCATAAATGAGAAAGATGAAGGACGGACTCGATCAGCTCTCTTTCAATCGTGGACCGAGTAAGGAGGTAGGTCAATCATTGCTGACCGAGTCGGACATTTTGGGGCTTTAGCAAACGAGCGGATCCAGCCGGAGTCAGCCAAAATTGCTGATTGGACCCAATCAGCTCACTATCAAACGGAGCCTTACTCAATTTTATAAGTTCATATAACACACAGGCCTTTCTCATTGGACATTTTGCTGTTTCCTTGTATAATTACTCATGTTAAACTTTCTTGTAGAACATTTGGATTTCATATAACAATTATTATCCGTTAAAAAGTTCCATATTATAATTTTCATATATAAATGGAACTTAGTAAGCATATTTCATTAGCATTTGTAAATATAATGCCATGAAATCAATATTTCATGACATACCATTCCAATCATATCATCAACAACAGATTGTCACTGGAACTTCTGTAAAGCACGTAGAAGAGGAAGCAAGCTAGCAAAAACAATCTAATTATCTAAATGCTTTGTAAATTGGTGACACTCTGTCAACATACACACCTCATTTGAATCTCTATTTTTTCATTGGTTATTTGGATAATAGCATTTCTTAATTTTCATTCTTAAGAACCAAAATTGAAAAAGATACAAATAATCTTCATGAGTTGTCTTTTCTGAAAGCAAAATTATTGCAGAGTTCATCAATTTTTGTGTTACTTTGTGATCAATACCTTAACTGAGAAAACCCATGACTTGCTTTTCGATCCATGTCTTCTCATGTAATTGGTGGGCCTCGCCCAACATATAGATTTGTCAGTCATCACGCCCCACCTGACATCGAGCCCCGCCCCATATACATATAAACATAAAAGCATATAAACATATAGCACATGGAATAATCACAAAGATAAATAGCATACAGGATGGTCATCGGGCCCCGCCCAGCATCCGACCTTGCCTGGTAAACATATAAACACATATCACATGCAAGAGTCACGCAAACAACTAGCATCCTAACATATCAAACCATGGTCCGACATTGGTGCCTTCGGACCCACTAAAAACAGTGAGGAAACTCACCTCTAGCTGCAGAAACACTCAAATGAATCTCTATCTACTGGTTCGGAAGATCCCACGCTATCATCATCAAAATAATATCCAATTAATAATTGGATCTCAACCCAACCAAGAATCTAAGCTACTTAACCCACAACCAGGATAAAAGACCATTTTACCCTTATTCTCACTTGGCCCAAAGCCAAGGCCCAAATCCTAAGTAGCAACCCAAGGCCCAATATGGCCCAATCTTCTAAATCAAGCCCAAACCCATCATGGGCCTAAATCCAAAGGAGCCCAAAATCTTAGCAACAACCTAAAATCAGAAGTCTAATGGCCCAACAAGGCGCAAACTTCAAATTCCAAAACATGGCCCAATACCAAAAACGTCAAGCCCAAAATCCATCGGCTGACTACGCGAGGCGTACTCCTTCCGGGGTCGGTACATGCAGCGTACCAGCTAGGTATGCCTAGCGTACTCTCCAAATTGACAACCCACTCCAATTAATAATTGGATCTCGATCCAACCAAGAATCTAAGCTACTTAACCCATAACCAGGGTAAAAGACCATTTTACCCTTTTTCTCACTTGGCCCAAATCCTAAGTTGCAACCCAAGGCCCAATATGGCCCAATCTTCTAAATTCGGCCCAAACCCATCATGGGCCTAAATCCAAAGGAACCCAAAATACTAGCAACAACGTAAAATCAGAAGTCTAATGGCCCAACAAGGTGCAAACTTCAAAGTCCAAAACACGGCCCAATATCGAGAACGTCAAGCCCAAAATCCATCTATTGAGTATGCAAGGCATGCTCCTTCCGGGGTCAGTACGCACAGCGTATCAGCTAGGTATGCCTAGCATACACTCCAGATTGGCAACGCACTCCATTAAGCACTTAATCGGTTAAGCCAAACTCTCAGATCAGGTCCTAAAGGGTGACTTTTCACGTAAAGTTGGCAACTTTACACCCATGCATGGCTTAATGGGACTCAAGGATCAAAAAGAGCTTAATAAAGGTCTTAATACTTGCATGGAACAATAACATCCATAAAGTTTGCATTGTATTAATTATGAGCCTTATTGGAGCTAAGATCTAACATCCATGGCTTCTGGAGTAGATCAAAAGCTCAAGTTTAATACAAAAGACTTCAAAACGCACACAAGACTCCATAAAAAGGTTTAACACAAATGATCATCATGGTGGGAGGTTTTACATCAAAAATCTTGCAAATAAGAAGGTAATTTTAGATCTACAAGCTCAAGCTAGTCCTCCAAGGTTCCCTTTTCTTCTGCTTCACCACAAAACACTAACAAATCACTTTCAAGCTCAAATCTTACCAAAAGCTCTTAGGGTTTCGTTTTAAAGGTAAAGGGAGATGGAGGCATATCAATAATGTTTAAGAGGTGGGTTTAAGATGTATAAATAGGGTGCAAACAATAAAAATTAGGGTTTGCCTCTGCACCACGTATGCCCGACGTACGTGGATGAGTCCCCCGATCCAGATTAGGCTAGTACGCCAAACATACTCTAGAGTACACCCCACGTACTAGCTAAAGGGGCAAAATGTAAACCTTTTGCATAACAGGCTAAAATGTAAACTTAACAAAAACTCAATTGTTACACCAAGGCAGCACCATGTCAGCGAAAAGAGCCCATCTAGCGCTAATGTGGCGCACCACATGTGCAGACAAAAGGTTGGAAACCCGGGAAACCGCCTAAAAGGGTGAAAACGCAAAGAATTATGTAAACTTTAGGCATTACTGAACCTAAAAGTACTCAAAGGGTAAAACCAAATATTTCTTAAAAATTTAAGGACTTTTATGGCATTAGCCCTTTGAATAATTGCTAAATGTTAATTTTTCTACATATATCCGTGCGTAGACGTCTAAGTCGATACCATAATATATGTTCCATGTACAAATTATAAAAGAATCTAATTTAACTTATTTTTAGTCATCATAGTGAGAATATATAAAACATATCATAAGAATATTCATATGGGCTTATTAACATGATCATTTATTTAGTTGACCAATAAATTTAATAAATTCACTGGATGGTAACTATTTAGTTTGATCTTATTATGTGGACCAACTAATTAAAAAGATATGTATTAATGAGCGTAATAACTAAATTAAGGTATAATAGAAATAATATTTTTAATATGTATATGAATTTATATGTTTGGTCTCATAGAAGAAATCGGTGAACGAGGATATAATGTAAAGGTTTTGACATTTCAAGGCAAGACGACGTAACTAGAAAGTAGTGTTGTCCTTTTAGTTGACCATCAGTTTAGTTTCTACCCATATATATGGGTCCCTATATATGATTTTGTGCTGTATTGAGAATAGTTTTTGCTTTCTGTAAAACTTTGTGTTCTATTTGTTATATTATATGCACTTCTTTTTGCATTCATGAAATGTATTTCTTAAGAATTTTTGAGTTAAGCAAAAACTAAAGTCGTGACAAAGAACTTTTCTTGCATGAATATGTGTATTCATACTAGGTAGGATTATGAGAGTTTGAGGTCTAAAAATTAAGTTAAGAATACATTTTCTTTTGAACAATAGCCAAGAAGGCTGACATGTAACGCCCAACAAATCAATAAAAGATACATCTAACTTTTTTAATTTTATAAAACAACTTGGTGTGCACTTATACTAACTAGTTAAATATAAGAAGTTATTAAAATGATCGTATACAAAAATAGTAATACGAAGATCCAAATCAAGCATTAGCATCCTTCTATAGTCTTGCTATCTCTTAGCGATCAGCTTTATAACCTACATGTTTACCTAAACCTAAAAGTACGGATAAGTGTGGGACACAACCAACCTACATGTTTACCTAAACCTAAAAGTACGGATAAGCGTGTGACAGAACCAACACTGATCTGTACCATCCCCGATTTCTTGAAAACCGAATTTGATCAAAAGTCAATCCCGAGTATCGAACCGAATTAACATTACTGATACCGGTACCGAGAATGGTATCAGTTTTCAGTACAAGTATAGGTACCGACGGTACCAAATTCCAAATTTTGTTTATTTGAAGTAAGGTTCGATACCAATTCAGTACAGTACAACGTACTGTACTGGTACGGGATCAGGATTTGGGACAAACTACTCATCCCTACCTGAAAGCCAAACAGCAATAAAAGTAAGCTACAAGAGCTTAGTGGGTAACTCCAACAAAATGTTGTGTAATCACTACAAAAAACAATTATATTGTTTAATTCAGCAACAATTCAATTAAATATCATAATTTCTTTTAGTGTTTCACATAATTTAATATATAC